AAAAATTACTGAGATGTAATTCATCTTACCTTTATGAATGAGACGTATGTTCATCTAAAAAAGTGCTACAACCATTTGGTTATTCAGCACTTTGCATATAAAGTTGCAGACATTATCAATTAGGTACCACCAATACCAATTACATACAACTATATACATGTATTTACATTACATGTACTGTATTATATACATAGGGAAAGAGCTAAACCCACAGGGATCATGCAGTGTCTGGGGAATGGGAGGCAATTAAGTTTAATCCAATAGGAAAATAAGTCCAGTTCCTCGGATCAAGAGCCTCTTGCAAACCCTTGAGGCATCAGCCCCCACCATGGGGAGGTGTCTTGATGCCCAAAAAGCTCACGATAAAAAAAAAAACTGGACCTATTACTCCTTTCCTGGGAATAAAACCCAACTGCCTATTTCCCTACGACCTGTATGACCCCCACAGATTTAGCGCTCCCCCATGAATGTAATAATGTGTGATGAAATATGACGAAGTTAATAAAACTCATTTCATGATGGGTGGCTAAATAAGCTTCTTTAGCATCAAAATAAATACACCACTTTATGCAACTACCCCAATCCATGACATCTTACAAGGTTACATCAAGAAGGAACTATGCTTACCTCGCAACCATCACGGGATAATATTCCTGTTATACTCCATTACACAAGATGGTTCTCACTCATGAGATAATGTAAAGTACGTTTGTGTCAGCCTGAGCTGGGAGATTTCAATGCGAATATCGTCAAACATTTCACTATGGGCTCAGTACTTACGAAAAATCTACTGGTTTTCTATCAGCACCCACGAAAAATCTGCAGTTTTTTTTAATCATGATTAATGTGAGCCCTAAACCTAACCCTGTGTAGAAGGACAGTGAGTTAGTGTCAATTACTACTGTGAATAAAGTTTTAGCTGACCTGGGGGTGAAGGGTGGTCGGTAGCCAAATGGGAAGACAGGGTTCCAGTACAGCCTTGGCTGATGTGCTCACCATGATGGCTCCAGCATCACTAGGATGTATGGGTCCCGCCCAGGTTCCCAATGGAGTTCCCTACTACACGCTACTCCAACCACACCACACATCGGGGGCAACAGGCCAACCAGAAACAGTTAAAGTTAAAGTATTATGGTAACATATCAGTGATTGTAATGAGTAAAAAAAAAAAGTATAATTAGAAATGAAAAAAGGCAATTTAAATACTAGACAAAAATTTGGGGAAAATGCCAATTGATTAGTGTCATCTTTAAAAGCCATGGATTGCAAATCAGTAAGGGTTCAAATCACATCTACGAAGGTAGGGGTTGATTGTTTGCCTGGAGTTTTAAAAATGTCTACACATACTCATTACTCTGGCATTGCTGATCTGACATCTAACCATTCATTTATAATGGCCATTTTGTGTATACCCACTTGCTACCTCACTAGGCAAAAAACTAAACTAGACATATTTCAGTCGCTCCGTGATTCCAGAAAGATATCCTCGTATTTCACAAGCCCAAAACCCCATCTACCCAATGCATGCAAAAGGAATAGTAGAGTGCGGTATAAATTTTATTGTGATTAAATATTTAAATACCTAAATAACAAAGAAAAGCACATTACTGTGATCGATACACAAATAACCCGCACATTTGAAGAGAGGAGCTTACGTTTCGATCAGACTTGAACCATTTACAAAGTCACACAAACGCAAAGGAGAGCGGGGGAAGGGTATATATAGGCAGGAGGTGGTGGTGGTAGTAGTAGTAGTAGTAATAGTAGTAGTAGTAGTAGTTAATAGTAGTAGTTGTAGTAGTAGTTTGTAGTAGTAGAGTAGTGGGGGAGGTAGTAAGAGGGAGGAAGAGCCAGCCAAATACTAAGAAAGAGGAGCACTGCAAGGGAGCTAGGTGCCCCAGAAGGTATGAGCAAGAACACCGAGGGAGGGAAAATAAAGAAGGAACAAATACACAGGACAGAAGACAACCCAAAGGAGAAAAGGAAAGCTCCTCTCTTCTATGTGCGGTTATTTGTGTTTAAATACCTAAGTATGATCACCTGAATATAATTTGGCAAATTTGCACTTACACAGGCTAAACAAAAAAAACGTATCATCCTTTTCATAAGATTTATTTGCCATTTAAGATTCAAGCTGATGAAAACCCGAGCAAGTTAATTTACAGGAAAATACAACCTGGAGTTTACCTGGAGAGAGTTCGGGGGTCAACGCCCCCCTGGCCCGGTCTGTGACCAGGCCCCCCTGGTGGATTTTAGAGCCTGATCAACCAGGCTGTTACTTGCTGGCTGCATGCAAACCAACGTAAAAGCCACAGCCCGGCTGGTCAGGTACCGACTTTAGGTGTTTGTCCAGTGCCCGCTTGAAGACTGCCAGGGGTCTTTTTGGTAATCCCCCTTATGTATGCTGGGAGGCAGTTGAACAGTCTCGGGCCCCTGAAAATTTAAACTGTATGGTCTCAAATGTGCTAGTGACACCCCTGCTTTTCATTGGGGGGATGTTTTGCATTCGTCTGCCAATTTTTGCTTTTCGTTGTGATGATTTTCGTGTGCAGTTCGGTACTTAATTCCTTCTGGGTTTTTTCAGGTGTATATAATCATGTTATCTCTCCGCCTGCAATTCCAGGATACAGTTCAGGAACTTCAAGCGCTCCCATAAATTGAGGTGTTTTATCCCCGTTATTGCGCGCCGTGAAAGGTTCTCTGTACATTTTCTAGGTCAGCAATTTCACCCTCCTTTGAAAGGTTGCTGTTTAGTGTGCAGCAATATTCCAAGCCTAATAGAACAAGTGACTTGAAGATTTGTCATCATGGCTTGGCATCCCTAGTTTTGAAGGTTTCTCATTATCCATCTGTCATTCTTCAGCAGCTGCAATTGATACAGTGTTATGGTCCTTGAAGGTGAGACCCTTGACAGGGATCACTCCCAGGTCTTTGGACTTTGGGTGTTTCACTTTTTGTGGCCAGAATTTGTTTTGTACTCTGATGAAGTTTTAATTTCCTCGTGTTTACCAATGTGAGTAATTAAAATTTTTCTCATCGTTGAACTTCATAATGTTTTCTGCAGCCAACTGAAAGATTTGGTTGTGTCCGCCTGGAGCCTTGCAGTGTCTGCAATGGAAGACACTGTCATGCGATTCGGGTGTCATCTGCAAAGGATGACACGGGCTGGGGGCTGACTTCTTGTCTATGTCAGATATGAGGATGAGAAACAAGATGGGAGCGAGTACTGTGCCTTGTGGAACAGAGCTTTTTCACCGTAGCTGCCTCGGACTTGACTCTGTTGATATCTCTGTGTTCTGTTTTGGAGGAATTATAGATCCATCTACCAACTTTTCCTGTTATTCCTTAGCACGCATTTTGTGGGGCTATTACGCCATGGTCACACTTGTTGAAGGCTTTTGCAAAGTCTGTATATATTACATCTGCATTCGTTTTGTCTTTTAGTGCATCCCGGACCTTGTCGTAGTGATCCAATAGTTGAGAGACAGGAGCGACCTGTTCTAAAACCCCTGTTGCCCTGGTTGTGTAATTGATGGGTTTCTAGATGGGTGGCGATCTTGCTTTTAGGACCTTTCAAAGATTTTTATGATATGGGATGTTAGTGCTATCGGTCTGTAGTTCATTGCTATTGCTTTAAAGGCCCCCTTGTGGGAGTGGGGCTATGTTTTGTTGCTTTTAGTAACTGTGGGACGACCCCCGTGTCCATGCTCCCTCTCCATAGGATGGTAAAACCTCGTGATAGAGGCTTCTTGCAGTTCTTGATGAACATGGAGTTCCATGAGTCTGGCCCTGGGGCAGAGTGCATGGGCATGTCATTTATCGCCTGTTCGAAGTCATTTGGCGTCAGGATAACATCAGATAGGCTTGCGTTAACCAAATTCTGTGGCCCTCTCATAAAAAATTCATTTTGAACTTCGACTCTCAGTCTGGTTAGCGGCTTGCTAAAAACTGAGTCATATTGGGATTTGAGTAGCTCACTCATTTCCTTGCTGTCATCTGTGTAGGACTGGACGTTGTTCTCGACTTTGATTTGGCATTTTAAAAATAAAATTAGCAAAATGTCACCTACACACACCAATAGCTAATCCAGCCTTCCTCTAAGTAGAGTACACGAATATTGACGGTTTGAAGCAGATTAGAAGAGGCTTTCTCAAGTTAGTGTGCAGAAACCACAACTGGGAACGACGTATGTATATAAAACTGACCAGAGGACATGCCAATAGTTTCAAGACCCTTACCCAGTTATAGTTTACTAGAAGTGTAAAACTGAATCGAATGAGGTGTTTTCAAGTAGTAGAAGAAAAAAAAATAGAGGAAAAAAATATCAGGCCGCTACCTAAAGGTATCCCTTCGGGGATACCTAAAATGTTAGCATTGACTTAAGGGCAAGAGAAAAATTCAGTGATCACATCTCTAATTGGTACAACGATTGTAAACCTAAGACTGCAAAATTTAATGATCTTGTAACAAAACTTTTTAATTAAAGTAAAATAAAGGGAAACGTTAACATACTCGACAGGATAATTTTACTTCAAACAGAGCTAGACAACTAACAAAGTTTTTGCTTCAGGGCCAGTGATTTTTGGCTCAAGCTTACTAGGGAATATCCAGCTTGGAAGATTTTTATTATTATTATTATTATTATAATCAAAAAGAAGCGCTAAGCCACAAGGGCTATACAGCGGGAATATTTTTAGCTTGGAACAGTTTATGTGCACGAGTGACGGTGATCCTGTTGATCCTTCGTCGTCTTTTTTGAGTAAGCTAATCAGCTCAGTCTACAAAGGAAGTAACCACACAATTCTGAAGCCCTCTCAGGTGTCCAAAGAGAACTAGAATTATGGGATACGGGGGAGGCCTTTTCCGGATTACGCAGATACCGAAGTACATCTAGGCTAAAGTCATTACGCAGATACCGAAGTACATCTAGGCTAAAGTTATCAGTTTATTACTATATCAATATAATTATTACATTATCATTAACAGTATTATACGACATACTAGTCAATGCAGTTTACCTCAGGTGTAGGCCGCGGGTCCAACACCACCAGCTGTACCACTGTGGGAGCAAGAAAATATTACAATCACTTCTTGAAGATTTCCTTTTGCATAAGCACTGGATCCAGGGGGGGGGGCTTACATGCAATTCAAATATGACAACGAAGTTTGCTGACCGTGTAATGCTTAGAGAAGCAAGCTTGACATTTTATAATGCATTTTTTTTTTTTGAAGGATTGGGAATGCGAATATATAAAAGACAATACGTACATGCTAGAAGAGCGGTGAGGGTAACCACCACCAGGAAGGGAGGGGTTTTAGAACTAGTAAAGTCGTAGAGGAAGCTTCCCAACGGGTAGCCAGCCAGGACACCCAGAGCGATGCCACCCATTACCAGTCCCTGGATGCGTCCACGCTCCTCGTCCTCACTGTAACATTCTGCTATGATGCCCATGCCTGCTGGTACAGTAAAGTCTTAAAGTGGGATTATACAGGAAGGTTAGGTTGATGTGGTAGATGCAAACAAGTGTCAGATTCTAATCCCAGGAAAAAGTAAAACTATGATACTTAAATAATGTAGATCTTGTGTGGATAAGGACATAATAAAGGTAGTATAAACAGCGAATTTAAAATATCTAACCAAGATGGGACTCGCAGGAATGGATTAAAGTTGAAGAAATTTTGATTTAGTTTGGCAAGAGTTGTGGATGAGTGAAATACACTCTCAAGTTGTGTCAGTGAGGCAAGAACTTGGGTAGCTTTAAAATTAGACTGACACGGTACATGAGTGGGTGGAGGAGAGGGTTGTACCTGCCCAGCACGGGTTCGTAAGATACGGTAATGTTCTAACCTTGTTCTTGTGTGTACAGTTAGGTAGCCTGTTTCGCACTTCAAAGACATCATTCCTCGCGTTAAATAAACCACACGGGTTTACCACTTTATGTAAATTAATAATCCGGTTTGGCTAAAATAAATACTTGCATGCATTTTTACAATGTCATACCTGACATCATAACTGCGTGCATAGTACTCTATCTTTGGATAATGCTACTGTTGTATACTAAGCTAGAGCAATGGAAATTATTTTCACATGAAAATAACACTCAAATTAGGGAAACATGATAGGCTAGATCAAATAATATGGGACCAGGACAATTTTGTCTGAAAGCGTTTTTTATTTCAATAAAGTAATTGAAAAGATTCTAAAAGCATGTTTAATGGCATCCAGACAATGCAAAATTATATATATATATAAAAAATACATACATTAGTACGTACCGGCGATGGCAATGCAAGAAGAGGCGACACCCTGGAGACTGCGGGCGAGAAACATCAAGGTGTAGCTCTCAGCGTAGGCAAACACTGTGGACCAGGCACTGTGATTAGTCTCGTCCTCAGTTTTAGTCATTGTGGTTACTATTCTCCTAAGTAAGCATAAATAACAAAAACACAAGCGCCTACTTCCCTTCAACATTGCTATGATGGGTTTTTGCTCAAGAAAATGATTCCTGACCCGGGTCAGGAATGATCAGCTTAGTAATTAAGGAGCTTCTGGCGTAAATACTGGAGCCTGGCTTCTATCCCATTAAAAAGCAAAATATCATAGTGTCCTAGTATTAAGCTACAATGAAAAGGCAGAGGGTTGAAGCCTTTATGGTCTGTTGAGGACTTGCATTATCATGAATATCAAAATGGTATACAATACCGACAGGTTGGTAGGTAAGACACATAGGCAACAGTTAGGCAACTTTATTCCGAAACGTTTCGCCTACACAGTAAACTGTAATGCAATACAAGATATAATATAACACAACTCATCGAATGAAACTCATCAAATGAAACTCAACATTGAGATTACACAATAGAAGTGATAAAAAAAAATTTTTTGATCGATCGATCCGTATTCATGTGATCTACGGATTCTGAGGAAGGAATATATACAAAGAAAGAGTGTTTAACAGAAAGGCAGATTCGGTGCACTCAAATCTAGACTGTTAACTCTCAGAATTCGGAGAGAACGTGAACACACAAAAAAATTCTTGAATACTGATAAGTTGATACTGTAATTATTCATCTATACAGGTTATTTACATTTAACCCCAACTCTGCTAGGGTAAGATTGACACATGCAGAATGGGTGTCATCTCTGGGAGGATCAAACTCTGTTGCACTGGCTAACTCATGCTGTATTTGAGGCAAATCTGAATTGGAAGTAACAAATGATACTTGAGGGTTTCTCAATACCTGTCGTGTACGTAGGGAATAACGACATTCAGGTTGATTGTCTGACTGAGTATCAGAGGAAGAGAGTACAGGATCAGGAGGATTGTCAGTCTGTCACATTAGTCTGGGTTGGAACATCATTATCATTACATACTAACTTCATATGATCTAAATGCGATTCTTTATACTGACCAGTACTAATTTCTCTAACCTTATACTTATTACCAGTGATATGTTCAACTACTCGATAAGGACCAACAAACTTTTGATCAAGCTTTGGCATTGCAGACGTTTTGTTAAAGTTAGTCAGCATAACTCTCGAACCTACTTTGATTTTGGATGGCTTTGCTCGAGTGTTTGCGACTCTTGTAAATTCTGCTGTTGATTTATGAAGTGTTTCACGGATTCTTCTAAAAACACTTTGAGCTAAGCTGGTAAGAGTTGCTATGAAATCATCAGGGTTGTAATTTGGTTTCGGATTAGAATATAGCAACTCATAAGGCAAACGTTTATCTACACCGTACAATGCATAATGTGGAGTGTCACCTATAGAAACATTGTAAGCAGAATTTATAGCACACTGCACATCAGGTATAACTTCATCCCAAGTTTCACTGTTGGGATTGATAGTGGCTCTCAAGACATCAAGTACTTTCTTATTGGTTCGTTCCGCTAACCATTGCTGGCAGGATGATGAGGAACAATGGTGGATTTAGAGATCTTGTACAAGGTACACAAATTTTCAAGAATCTCTTTACAGAATTCACCTCCATTATCTGTTACTAGGGACTTAGGGGTGGTATGCCTGCAGATAATGCGTTCTTTAAACGCTTTAGCTACTGTCTCGGCAGTCTTATCTGCAATAGGAACTAACTCACAATATCTGGTGAAATGGTCTACCATAACACACAGATGTTTGTTGCCTTGGAGGGAACATTGGAAATTAGTTAACAAATCTAGCGCAACTCTTTCCCACGGTTCGCTAGTAGTTGGATACACTTGGATTGGATTAGGGCCATTAGCATTACCTTTATGTTGCATGCAGACACTACATTTCTTAACATTTCTCAGATATATCAGTTGCCATACGAGGCCAAAAGTATTTCAATCTGGCTTGTTTTACTGAACGATCCATACCAGGGTGTGCAACGCCTGGTACATCGTGAACTAGCTGTAAGGCTACATTCACTAGTGACTGTGGAATTACTAACTGGTATACTCTTCTGCTAGGAGTACCCAACTCGGCTGTTCGATACAGTAATTCTTGGTTCATGACAAAGTCGCTGATGGATGCTGGTGGCTTCACAGTCAGAATAAGATCTTCCTGGAGCAGGAATCGAATCACACCAGACCACATGGGATCTGTTCGTTGAGCATTCTTTACATCTTCAGCACTAAATGGAGGGTCTGCAGTTACTATACTAACATGTCGCGATAAGGCATCTGCGACTACATTTGACTTGCCAGGTAAGTGTTCAAAGGTGGGATTGAACTCTTGGATAGTCAAGGTCCATCTGGCTAACCTTCCAGTAGGTTGTTTGTTCTGGAATAAAGGTATCAGTGGAGCATGGTCTGTCAAGATATGAACAGAGTACTGATAAATAATGTCTCGGAAGTGCTTTAAAGACCATACTATTGGTAAAGCTTCTTGCTCAGTTACTGTATAATTTACGTTCAGCCTTCGTAAGGACCGGCTAGCAAATGCAACTGCGTTGTACTTGCCATCGGTCTTCTGAGCTAGTACGGCACCTATGCCAATTGAACTAGCATCAGTTGTCAGATAGAAGGGCTTAGAAAAATCTGGAAATTTCAAAATTGGAGCAGATGTTAGCTTTTCTTTTCGAGTTTGGAATGCTCTTTCTTGACGGAAGGTCCAAACAAAAGGAGCATCTTTCTTAAGCAACTCAGTTAGAGGAGCAGCTATGGAAGAAAAATTGGCAATAAAAGATCTATAAAAACCTGCTAAGCCCACAAAGGATCTTATGGCATCAGCAGTTTTGGGAGTTGGAAAATTTAGTACTGCAGTTACTTTACTTGGTCAGTCGTAACCCCTCTAGGAGTGACTACGTGACCAAGAAACTTAATTTCTGATCTGAAAAATGACATTTAGACAGTTTTGATCTTTAAATTGGCTTCTTCAAGCTTACCAAGTACTACATCAAGTCTTTTCAAGTGTGTATCCACGTCTTTAGACATGACGATTACGTCATCTAAGTACACCATAAGTGCATTACCTATGAGACCTCTAAAGATATTTAGTCATGAGCCTTGAGAACGTGATAGGGGGAGGATCGTAATCCAAACGCCATACGGAGGAAGTGATAATGACCTGTAGGAGTGGAGAATGCAGTTAGCTCTTGGCTGTCCTCGTGAAGAGGGACTTGCCAAAACCCTTGTAACAAATCCAGGGTTGAAAAGACTTTGTTATCTCCGATGTTACGTAAAAGATCACCCAGTACAGGAAGTGGGAAGCGATCTGGAATGGTTTTCGCATTTAACTTCCTAAAGTCAATTACTGGGCGCCAAGTACCATCCTTCTTAGGTACTAGGATCAAGGGTGCATTCCAAGGTGAATTGCTAGGTGCAATAACTCCATCATCAAGCATTTGATTGATCAATTCTTCTGCGACAGCAACTTGTGAATGAGGCATTCTGTACGCAGGTATGTAGATAGGTCTAGTACCAGGTTCAAGTGGAATACGATGGGACAATAAGTTCGTTATACCCATCTTCTCACCTGGTAAGGCAATGGCTTTACGACGTTTGTTCAACAGAGTCAACAAACGCTTGACTTCATCTGGGAAGTCAGTGGGAGCTAAGTCTTTCTCCTCAACTGGTGGAACAGATTGATCCAGTGAAGTGGATGAGGTCTCCCCGGCAGAAATAGCACCGACCCACTGGTCAGGTGACAACTCATCCTCTACCTGAACAGGGTAAGGATAGTGAACAAGGTCAACAAGACTGGTATTAGCTCTAAGACGAACACTGTGACCAGAAGTGTTAGCTAGGAAGAAATGGATCTTACTATCTCTTACAACATGTAAGGATGGTTCAACAAATAGACCTTTTACTTTGCAAGAATCACTGTCAACTAGGACGTTATCACCATCTGGAACACTAGGAACAACAACAGACACTCTAGTGAGGACACTAGCTGCGACAGAAACGTCTTTCTGCAGACGGCATGTGACATCAACAAGAGATGGCATTACTAGTTGCAAGTAATTGTTTTCCGACAAGGCGTCCCCTGTGGAGAAACTACTACTTGAACTAGCAGACATTGCAGGGATAGGCTCAGCACTCAAGGTAGTCAGAGCGTCCTCGGACACTTGAGGTAACTGGACACTATCTTGCAAGTCTGAAGTTGCAGGAACACAGACAGGAGTGACAGGATCATCAGTGCCTGACCGCTTGGGTACGCTACTGGAAAATGCACTGGCCTGTAAGGACTTAATTCGAATGTCATACTCTGCGGCAGTATGGCAGATCTCGGATCAAGCTGGTAACTGGTTACTAGGAACTGGTACTACTACTGAGACGCCTACACAGTAGGCTTCTTCAGTCGAATACAGAAAGTAGGCAGGAACATTAGAGATGTGAAGACGATGTAATCAGTCTATCACCCTTAAAGTAGTAGATTTGAGGTTGTCAGTCCCTCAGCCTGGAGAAGTTCAGTTCCATAGTCAGGAACTATCTGAAGATCAAGTGACAGTGCGGAGACTTAAATACTGTCGGAAAGAGAGGTGCAGAGCAGTAGTAGTGAGAAAGCAGTCACTAAGAGGACACGTCCCTCTCACTTGAAAAAGTTGTCCAAGGTGTTTTCTGTACCAAGATGCCATTGTGTTGCAGTGTCTGACAGGATGAATATAAAAATGGTATACAATACCGACAGGTTGGTAGGTAAGACACATAGGCATTATCATTATTATTAGTAGTAGTATTCGAAAGTACTAAACAAGAAGGGATCCCACAGCGTCTGGTAATTATGTTTGATCAAAAAGGGCAGCTCCAATTCCTTACAGAGCCCTTAACGATCCTAAGGGCACCCCCCTACTCCTTGAATAGAGGACTAATTACAGTCGAGATATCCTAATAAAAATCCGTTTCTTCTGTATATGGGACAAGTTATCCTACGAGAAGGTAATTCCCAAGTGATAGTAACTCTCACACTGGTGGAACGAAAACCTTCGCCGCTCCTGCAGCTAATGAACCCTCACTGTTTTACTGAAGCCTCCCAGCTCAGGCTGACAGCTTTCAACAACGTATGAACCTCATCCTGAGTGATGGATGGAATATGACGGGAAAAATAGCTTTATTCAGACCGAAACTATCATACACTGTAGAAAAGGGTAGCAGTACACTGCTGATGTACCCAATCTTGCCAAATAAAAGAAAAATAACCCCAGTCCAACTTACCGTGGTTCTTCCCGTTTCTAAGTAGCTACCCATCTATTGACTGGGAAGACACAATGGCACCTGACTGACTTGACCGAACGGTGCACCTGTCTTGTGTAGGTTTCAATCGTTCAGAGTAATGTACTATAGTTAAAGAAGTCTGACAAATACGACAAAAAAAGATAACCCGTGTTGCACACCTCTTATCATTAAGAAATCTACTGCATAGCCCTCTTTTTTTATCATAAAACGTGCAGAGAATATCCACTAATAGAAAACAGCGATATAAAGGCATAAATTAAATTTTCAAGGCCAACACTATTCAGTATAGTATATTAATTAATGCCCTGCTAAAACACTGGTCGAAGTTTCGATCCGCCCTGAATTGTCAGGTGGACCGAAACGCTGTCCAGGTTACTTGTGAATCTTTTCAGTTATTTCCTTTACATGTATTGAGTAAAAGTACTCACGGAGAGCTGAGAGAATGAGGTTGTGAGTGCCCACAACTAGCGGGAAGGAGTAACCGACGTGAGCGGTGAGGGGCCCCACCAGTGGATTCACTACCAGCTGCACCAGAGCCTTGGACGAGAAGAGCAATCCCACCCGCCCGTTCTCAGCGATGATGTCTTGTGGAAGCTTCTTGTCCTCCCTTGCTAAAGCTGAGACTTTCTGAGGCTCCTGCTGACGCCTCGAGCCATCGTTAACTTTCGTGTCTCGAAATGTGTGTGTGGTCGTTGTTTTATGTGAGTTAGCCAGCTGAAGTGTCTTTTCCAAAGAGTGCTGGGGAACTTGGGTGCTTCCAGGATGAAGCTGCCGGACAGAGACATTGTCATGTGAATAGTGGAATGTGTCTGGAGATACTAAGTTAGTGTGAGTGTTCTGCAGGAGTAAAAGGGGCGAGCCCATCGGCACCAGGACATCCCTACGTTGTTTATATTTCTGTTTGGAACGACGACCGGATAGTGAGAGGAAGTGGTCTTGTAGTAGATTTTTAATAGAGCCTTCACCAGTGTTAATTTCGTAGATATTCTTATTGTTTATGTTATGGGAAATTCTATCTTTTATCTCATCTGATCTCTTCGACTGTGTATCTTTCAAAGAATTATAATGTATCTCAGCATTGTCAACGGGTTTTGGAGTCTGCATTTTTAAACGTTTCACGTGCACTAAATCGTCGAAACGTTTGCCGGGATTATCAATGGGTTCAGAAGGATTATCAATGGGCTCCGTAAGATTATCAGAGTCTTGGTTAGGGAGCTCACTCCGGTACCGCTTAAGGTTTCCAGCCAAATTAATTTTCTCGCTGAAATTCATTAGATGTTGCAAAGCTAGTTTTGTATGCATGCTTTGGTAGTCAGACACCACAGAGGGTTAGCATCTGAGGAAAACTTCTACCTGTGGAACAGCCATTATTTCTTTCAATACCGGAGTGGGAAATTTTGGCAGCGTACGAATTTCTGTCATCGAGGCTTCAGATGTGGAGTGAGATGGACGATCCTGCAACTTGGGACTTTGAAGAGGTTTAAGTCTCGAGAGGAGAGAGTTGACTGGTTGTTATATATGCCCTTGGGCAAAGTCTTGTAGGTGGCGGTCGTGATGGTATGGTGGTATTAAGATAGGCATCCCTGGCTGTGTGTTGGTGTTCTAGTTGATAGAGATAATCAGGGATGATGGGAACTGTGAACGGAGATACACAGCAACGTTCTTAAATAACATCAATTGATATTTGTATGCATGCTGTACTTAACATTTCAATATTAAAATATAGAATGGAGGAACACTGTAGCAAGCAGTTCTCAAACTCAACCATTTCCACCCAGTAAAAAAAAATCCAATATTATTATATTCATGGTAAAGTGATAAGCCTGTACGGGTCATACAGGCATGATTTACGGAAGGGACGAGTTGCTATAATTTCCTGGATTAAGTAAGAGTCTTTATTAGCATCAAGATACCTCCTGGAAGTGAACTGCAACATCTGTTTAGCCACTGTAGCCTACAACTACGCAAAGCACTCTTCATTAATATGTCGAGGTAATGTCGTCCGTTGTAATACAAGACAAACTTTATCACTGTATAAAATTAAAGTCCAATTTTCATCTAGGGGAAAAATACTATGATCTTGAAAGCATTGTGCGAACCTTCGCCCCAGTTAATATGGAAACTTCTGTTCAATCATAAGAAACTTGTACACTTAAGAGTGGATTTGCAGTTTTGTGAATATACTAGTAAGAAACTTGCCAACATGTCAAGCAGATCTGATGGTGATAACTTTGGGACACATCTCCATGACTGAGAATCTTATCCCTATGATTGGGAGGGACCCTCTACCCACCGTTCTGCGAGAACCTTAACCACCGTTCCGAGGGAACCTTACCCGCTGTCACGCGGGTTTCTTGCCCATGGCCGAGGGGGAACTTTGCCCATGGAGCGAACCATACCCATGGCGAGGAACCTCTGGCGGGGGTTGCTTTACCCATGGCGGGGATACCTAACCAATGGCGAGAGGAACCTTACCCATGGCGAAGGGAACCCTACCCAGCGTTATAAGGTAACTTACCTACGACTGTGAGAAGCATGTTGTCTAGGACGAGAGCTGCGTAAACGAGCAGGATGACAGTGACAGGACTCCTACGCAGGCCCAACACCTCATCCCGCAGCCCCGCCACTCCAACACCTACCTTCAACATACTCCTGAGGAAGAATGAAGAAAAATAAGGGAATTATTGTGACCGTGGGGAAACCTCTAGAGAGAGTAGACATGTTATTCGATCCAAGTTAGAGAAGTTTCCAATTCTTTAGATCAAGAACCCTTCACCGGCATCAAGACTCTCTTGAAGGGATGACACATCGCACTGGACCCTTCAAATGTGCAGTGATGCTGGTAAAGGCCTTTTTGATAAAAGGAATTGAAGTTACTCCACTTAAATAAAATCTGATTACTTCCCATTCTACAGGTGTTACAAGACTTTAGCGCCTCCTCATGAATATAATAAAAGACATTGAAAACCGTTTACTTCATTTTTGATCGCCTGACTTCTTATCCCCTATTTTTACCATTCCGTTAATTTTAAAATTTTTTGGTTCTTAAAAAGAGCCTCTCCTCTTTTGATCCGCCTATTTACTGCTGTTGCTACTACAGGGCTACCAGCACACTATTTTTACTATTATTACCCCTGCTATTGCT